CAGATCATTAATACTAGCTTGGTGGTGATGTTTCCATGAGGAAGCTTGGTTGCTGATTTTATTGTAGCACTGAAATCCTTCCCTTCAGTGAAAAGAAAGTGGCTTGTACCACTTGATCTCTTCCTGTAAGGTGGGAAATTGATTTTCAGGTTTATGGGACCCAGATTCTTAAATATTCTCCTAGCCATCAACATGGAATTGACCTAGTTCCCTAATTATTCCCCCTCTGCCTCTTCAAGCAAACCTTATCTCCTCTTGCCTCTATTCACATTGGAAACCAGGATTCTTCTACCTGCTCCGTACATCATAACATGCAATAAATATTTTGTTGAGTGAATGGCTAAATGAATAAACCCATATTCTCAAGCAAAGCTAATTAAAATAAAATAGAAATATTGTCGAAGGGAAGTCCTCCATTAAGACAAACTGGATTATTGAAATTTGACCCAAAAGGGATCACTTCAGCAATGTTGATTAATGCTGTAGAAGGAATCTGTACTGAAGAAAGCATCCCTTATTGAATCACCTCTGTGTGAAGTTAACCACTTTCTATGACTTTTTCCTATATCACATCCATACCCTGTATAATGCTTCTGTCTTCTTAACTCAATTGTTGATTTATCTAGAAATCTCAGAAGGGTCTTAAACTTCCTGAGGACAAAGATGATCCTGAAAACAAAGCAGGTGAAAACTGTTTCTGGGGTACCTAGCAAAGTGCCTGGTATACTAAGTGCTCATTAAATTTATGTTGACTGAATGAAGGGGAGACTGAATCCCTAATTTAGTGTAATGTAAATTTACTAAGAGGTTTGGGAAAAGAGAAGAAAAATGTGAAAATAAAGGATGAGAAATAAATACCACCTGAAAATGAATCAGTCTGACAGATCATCTTTGAAAGAACGCAGACCAATCCATATACATACATTGGTCTACAATAATGTTCATTCTGACCATAACATTTTTAACTAGTTTTCCTCACATTTGCCAAGGCCAGTACCACTTTTCTACAGCTTTGTCAGTTGTGAAAATTGCTTTGAACAAGTTAACTTTGCACAAAGTCAATAAGTTTATCACATTAACCCAAGACCACACCCACTTTTTGGTAGCCAAAATAGTGGGTTTTTATTATTAAAAAGGCGGGGATGGGGAAAAGAAAAATAACTAGTTTATCTTCTTTTTGTTTTAAGAATGTGAAAGTTTTATTTTTAGAAAACATTGCCACTTGATCAATCAAAATGGAACAAATTTAATATGTAGAAGAAAATGACTTCAAAGCACATTTTAGTAATATCTATTATATTAAGAGCTAAGTACGAAGAAATCATATGGGCATTTTCTTTATTTTTTTTAATCAAGATAACACAGGTTTACAAAATTGCACATGTTTCAGAGGTATAGGATCACCTCTTCAGATGCATGTCACCACACCACACCCACCAAGGCACCCATAGTCTCCTGTGGTCATTTTCAATGTGGTATTTGTTAATAGTACTTGGTGGGCTTCCCTGGCGGTGCAGGGGTTAAAAATGCAGTACTGTCAGGCTGTAGCCAGCCACTGCAGCACAAGTTTGATCCCTGGCAGGCCAGGGAGCAACCCATATGGCACAGCCGACCTCTCCTGTCTCAGCCACTGCTCCCCTCAGCAGTGTATTTCAGTCAATCCACCTGTTCTGCTCCCCACTCTGTCTCTGGTGAATCCTCTCACCCCCCACACCTCTGGCCTGTACCCCAGTTCTTGTATGCACAAATAAATCTTTAAAAAAAATCTTTGGATGGGAATTTTCTTTACAGTAAGTTGATTTTCATTCATTTTTCAGTGCTGTTCATAATCAGCAAGAGGAAACACACATTTTGAATTGCTGTATAATTTCTGTAAGCTCATTTGCCTTATTCTCAATAGGCTTACTGCTGGCTAGGGCTCATTTTCAAGACTAAATCCTTCACCCAAATCTGTAATTTATTTGGCTCTAGGGAGAGGTCACTGACTGTCCCGGAATGAGCACCCCACGGCCAAACAACCAACATCAACTCTGCACCCCGGCCATCTTCTTGGCTCCGCCCCAGGTCTCCTGAGGCAAACTGTCAAGACCCGAGGCCGCGTGTGCATGCATGTCGCCTCTGGTTTCGTGGCCACTGTCATCAATAAACTATTTCCTCTTAAAATAAAGGTTTCTTTTGTTGGAGACAAAAAAAGATGAAATTTACTATAAGACTATACTGCCAAAGAAAACCCACTTTACCCTTTAGAAGCTGGAGCGATGTTTTCCTTAAATAACTCAAACATCTGAGATCAGCTCAGCAGTGCTCATATCACCTGTGGTCAACAGAGAAGGGGGTGTCTTCCTTCTATCCCCTCCCTTCTCCTCTTCCAATTACAGGAAGGTATCTGCCAACCACATGTAGATACCAATGTATTACCACATTTCCATATATTTCTTATCCACCTATAGGGACTGCTTTCAGTGTCCTACCAGCAAACAATAAACGATATCATTTTTTAAAAATTATAGTTTTGGATGAAATGGCTCTGACGAACAAACTTTAAAAAACAGATTACTTAACAAAATGTAAGAGCACAGAATATTTTTTTCCTCTGGCTATCTTCTGATGCAAGTAATAGCACATTCAAAGTGACTTCCATGAGAAGTCTTTACCACTAGCTTCTCAATTAACATGGTCTAGACATTGGCTTTGGTGGGTGAAGGAGGCCAGAAATTCAATAACAATCCTAGGTTTCCTCGCCTTGCTTCCTGTTTTGCCATCTTTAATATATCAACAATGTCTGCAATAGTGCTAGAATATAGCTGCCCCAGTTCCAGGCACCTTGTCCTCGAATATATAACCCCAACCACAAAATCAAGAAGAAACAGAAGTCAGAGTAGCTTCTGTTTGCACCACTTGCTTTCTTATTAAAGAGGAAAATTGTCCAGGACACCTTCATACACACATCTGATATTCCTCTAACATTTCATTGACCAGATATGGGTCACATGACTACCAATCACTAGTGTAAAGAGATTTACTCTAAGGAATTGCTTCATGTGATTATGAAGACTGAGAGGCCCCAAGATCTGCAACCACGAAGTTGGAAAGTCCATGGTGTAAGTTCCACCAGAGCAGGCTGTCCCTTCATTCTGAAGACAGATATCCCAGCTCAAAGTCAGGCAGAGAGAAGGAATTTTCCTTCACTCCACCTCTTCATTCTATTCTGACCGTCAGTGGATTGGATGAGGTGCATTTAAGTTGATCCATCTGCTTTACAAAGTCAACTCATTCCAATATTAATCTTATCTAGAAACAACCTCACAGACACACTCAGTTTAACTAAATATTTGAGCACCCTATGGCCCAGTCAAATGGACACATACAATTAACCACTGCTTTGCCTTAGACAAAGAATAATCCATCAGAGTTGAGCCTACTTTTCCTAGCATGTTAACTGTTCAATTATCCAAACAAAATTTGGATCATCTTAGCAGGAAGGAAGGTGGAATATTGTGTCTTCTGTAGTGATCTCTGGTTTTTGAAAATTTAAACTTTAAAAACTGGTTAGCAACGAACCAAAAACAAATGCCATCTTCAAACAATTGCACATGGCACTTCGGGGGGATCATTTGGGTATGGACATGCCTGAAGATCTGTTAACCTGGGGTCTAACTGCTTTTCAGGTTTACAGGATCTCTAACTTTTTATCTGTATACCTACTTTATCCATCTTTGTAAATTTAAAAGTAAAGCATTGTTTTTGAAAGCAATTTTGGTATTTTCCATGTATCTTCCATTTGCCTTCACCTAGAAACCACCCCCCTTTTTATTTTGCTAGATTGACTTGGATCCTGGAACTTGGATCCAAGAACATATACCTGTATCTCCATCTATTGTCATTCCTTCATGTATCTTCCCCAAATCATCCTCTCTCTAATTTTATCACCTACCCCCATATAAAGGCTTTAGGTAAAAGTCAGGGAATACTGTATTTCCAGTTGTCTGAGGATTATTTGAAAGAATAATCTACAATTAACTGGAAACTCTGCAATTAACATGAATTTTGCTTACTTTATTGGGATAATACCTCCTCCCACTAAAGAACAACTTTTTTTTTTTTTAAAGATTTATTTATTTTTATACAAGAGCTGGGGTATAGGCCAGAGGTGCAGGAGGATGAGAGGATTCACCAGCGATAACACAGATTGCAGAACAGGCAGACGACCGAAATACACGGCTGAGGGGAGCAGTAGGAACGACAGGAGAGGTCTGCCACACCATGTGGGAATCTCCCTGGCTGGCCAGGAATCAAACCCGTGCTGTGGAGGCAGCGGACAGCTTCACAGCACTGCATTCAACCCACTGCGCCACCAGGGAAGCCCTAAAGAACAACTTTTTATGGCCATTGTGAAGAAAAAAAAATGTGCTATGTACAGTAGTGAGCTTTTAATAAATGTTATTTATTATTATCCTGATGACAAGAAAAATAATATTTGCACAGAAAATTTTTATTTTTTCAAGTTATATGGTACTGTGGAAAATTCAAAGTAGATAAACAAAAAGATGATGAAAAAGACCTGTAATTCCATTATCAAATGATAACTAATATTAACATTTCCATCTATACAGTTTCAAACTTTTCCATACATACTTACACATTTTAAAATAAAAGAGATCATACTGAAAAATACTCCTGAAATTGAAATTCTCTCCTATATTTTCCACACAATTCCATGTTGATATGTAGTTTAATTGCATGATTTTTTGTGTTCATATTATTGCTCCACATTTTGCTCAATCCCCTACTGCCCATTTAAGTTATGAAAGTATTTCTACATAAAAAGGGATCCTGTACTTAGCACTTGGCAATATTCAGTTTTCCATACTCCCCATTGCTACAGAATCTCCAATCCTAGCAACTGAGTGTCAACAATTCTAGAGAGATCTTTTGACTTCTTGGAATCATCTCTTCCTCAGTGTATTATTAGTCACCTGTTCAGTTTGTCTTATTCTTACCTCACACTTCCAGAACATTTGAACTTGAAGACCTTCCCCACAACTGTTCCATAATAACTCTGGGGACAAAGGCAGGAAATCTGGCAAAACATAAGAATGTCAGCAGCATTGGTAGGGAACTTCTAGAACACATACATCTGGAAATCTGGATGAAGTCCTTTGGGTCCCAAATTACAAACGACTAATCCAGTGCCACAGCAACCCTTGTACATCCCATAACTCTTTGGAGCTACTTCCTAGAGCCACCCTGAAGTCTACCCTTTCATTGCAACCATCGGAGCAAAACCAAAGGTCGTTTGACATCCTAGGAACCTTAGTAGGTAAACTTACTATAATGATCATGGTATATTTTTATTAACAAACTAGAATACATGTTTGGATGATTTAAAAATGTGACCCCCCTGTCATGTTAACAAGTCTTTATCGTGTGTGGGGGTGGGGTGAGAGAGGATACTAATAGAACACATTAATTCACCTGAGCCATACAATTTTATGTGAATAATTTCCCCTTTGAAAAAAATGACATTTTTATTAGCTATTTATTAATCTCTACTCTGTTTTTATTTCTCTTTCTCAGATTTCTTGTGAGTATTAAAATATAAGCACATAGTCAAGCATTGAGCTCATGGAGAAGGCACTCAACAAATGATACTTCCCTTTCCTTTTCTGCTCTTATAGGATGTTACAGCTCACAAAACATTTTGCTGTCCATCATTCAGTTGGTATTTTTAACCCTGAGAGGGAGGAGATACACTTTGTACTCAATCTACATATGAAAAAGTATTTAGATCTAGTTATGTCCCATCCTGCTTCCTGTTTTGTTTTATGAATTATTTTAAGACCAATACCTTCCCTATGTTTCTTTTTATCATACAGATAGCTCAACATGCCAGGGCTTAATGAATGATCTATGGCAACAGCACAATTTTTTTTTTCTATTGAAATCCACCTTAAAGTGGGGGGATTTCCTCCAGAAGTTTTGCTGCTGATAGAAAAAGACAAAGTACCCTTTCTAATGTGAATTTATGGAATGATTGTCTGCCCATAAAAAATTATTCTCCAGCTTGGAGCAATTAAAGTGGTCTCTCTCCTCTCCAAATTAATGTAATTAATACTGTAGTCTTGGTTGTTTATCATGTCTTGATAATATCACAAGGGAATGAAAATATTGGCTCTTTTATCCCTTTAAATAGCTGAGATGAAACTGTTCGAGCTGTAATGTTACAACAGCTGTTTCTCATGCCCCAAAATACAATTGGTTGATACTGAGGTTAGTAAATTGTAAGAAATTGACTTTGGTTTTATGCTTGCCTACATTGTGGGGAGGAAAAGATGGGAAATGTTAGCTTTCTCTTGTAATGAAAAAGCAAAATCTTCCCCCAATGAAATGGCAGCTTCCAGGTCTCATCTGTATAATTTTCTTCACCAACCTACTGTTTCTGAGTTTGCTGGATAACATGGCTGGGAAAGCGAGACCATTCTAGCTTCCCTCCTAATTAGCTCTCAACCCAACACAGCTGGGAGAAGCAGGGCTTTCCCATGAGGGCCTCTTTCTGGAAGTCATTGTAAAGTGCTGTGGCCTCGGGTGGCAAATACAATAGGGGATTTGAGACCGTAATTATCCCAAATAACTTGTAGAAGGAAGATTCTTTTACCTGAATATCTTTATTGCTGAGGAGAGTTGTTTCTAAAGTGTTTCTAATTCTAGGCCCACCAGTGTCACCTAGGAAGTGGGTAGGCATGCAGATTCTCAGACTCACCCTTGACCTACTGAATCAGAAACTCTGGAAGGGGGGGTGTTCTGGAATTCTGTGGTAGAATAAGCTCTGCATGTGACTCTGACGTACACCAAGCATTGAAACCACTGATCAGGGCCGGCCTGGTGTGTGGTGGGACAATACTGAGTCACCCACCTCGAGCTCATCCCCTGCTTAACCTCCATTAGTCTCCCAAGAAACGGAACCTATAGCAAAGTGCTCACCCCTTATAACAGCCCCCACCCCATTTGCTCTGAGAGGCAGGGCCTCTCCCTCTGGAATGTGCTCTGAATCACGAGATCGGGTAGAATGCTGTCTCATTTCTCATGGTGAGAGTGGGACGAGAGGCTGCATTTCTCCCCAGTGTGGCGGCGGTGGCTGCTGCTGTTGCTGCTGCTGTTGCTGCTGCTGCTGGCCCGGAGACCACACAGAAATGACTGGAAAAGTGACTGCAGGAACTGGTAGTCTAGTGGTGAGACAAAGTATACACAGCAAAAACTACAACAATTCTAAAGAAGCCACCATCAGTCCGCACAAAGTGGGAGATTTAAACAATAAGGGGGTTGTTTAGGCTTTGAAGGAGTTGAGCAAAAATCTCTCCATTACAGAAGTATTACTTCTGCTTCCTCCTGGTGCACCTTTTAACCTCACTCTCTGCCTTCTTCTGCTCTCCCCACATAACCCTCGCTTCTCCCCTTTCCTCCAACTAACTCCCCCACCTCCATTCTGCTCAACTCCCTGCTTCTTTCAGTCAGACTGTGGCTTCTTGATTAATGCTCACAACAATTCCATGAATTGAAAGGCTGGAACCTGTACTGAAATTTTGGTGTAGCTCTAGCAGGAAAATCAGAAGGTGGAACTTAAGGGGAAGATCTAACTTTCCCACCAAAAGAATTGCTTCTAGTTGTACATCCACATGCTCACCGTTGGGTTTTGATTTCCTAGGTGTTCTCCCTCCAATGAGCCACAGCTTGTCCATTGTTTAGACTCTTGATAGATAAGAAAGAAATCAAGTATGTGCTAGATTCTTCCAGCAGCTTCCAGACTGGCAAGTTCCTTTACCCTTTGAGGACAATGTTAACCTTTGCCTTTGAGGAAAGCTCGAGGTATGCACATCTTATACCTGTGCTCTCCTAACCCAGCTGCAAGTGTATAAATTAGGGGTGAGGAGTGGGGAGAGTTACTACGAAGCCTGCTCTGAAATGGCAGGAGACCTGGAAAGTAAAGCAGTGGGTGAGCAGTTAGCAAGAACAAAAACCCAGGGTTTCCCATATGGGCAAATTCCTAGCCAGCTTCTGCTTCCTCTTTCTCCCCCATTTCTTTGGCAATAGGGGTTCTTCCTCTACTAGAACATACATCTCATCTCCAAGCAATGTTTGCATCGCCCCAGTATTATGGGTTGTGAATTCAGGGTGGAAGGATAAGCTTAAATTGAAGACCAGAGATTTCCCTTCTGTCATCCAAGTTATCACACTGCCTCCAACAGATACTCAGAATACACACGAGGGGTGGCTGCGGAAACAGTAGAAAGCTTGTTTCTTGAGCTAGCTTTTTTTCCTTTTATTTTTATGCCATTAAGGTTAGAGGAGAAAATTAAATATCAATATTAGGCAGAGTGAGTCAATAGAAAGAGATATGGGACATACCTCTGTTTGGAATGGAAGAGGACAGAGAGGGTGAGAATAGAGGTTAAGCTTGATCTGGGCCTTCAAAAATAAAGAAGGAGGTGGTCTGGACTACTGAGGAGAGTGTGGGTCTCAGAATATGTATCCTCATGACTCCTTTGTCATTAGGAGCTAGTGACTCTGCACGGCTGTGGTCAGTGAATATCCCAGGGAAATACACAGCCTACAGAAGCTCTGCATAGGTGAGGGAATTGAAACCACTGTGGGTAATTCCTTGAGAATAGGATTTAAGATGGGAAAATAAGTGGCCACTGAATTGTTGGATGGATGGCAGGGACTTAAAGCAGGGTTCAAGGCTTCCTTTGCAGCTGCCACCCCCAGTTCAGGAAGCTACAGGAGACCACTTTCACCGGTGAACTTTTCACCATCACAGCTGCTCCGTGGCTTCCCATATGGTTCCCAGACATCTTCCTGGTCACTGCAAAAGTTCCCCTTTGCCGATAGTATGCAGCAGTCAATTCCAACATGGAGGAAGAATGAGCCTCTTTCCTTCCAATTTCCATCTCATAGGCAGACACTAAGTTGCCTCTAGACTTAACAGCAAGGAGAGGTGCGGATGCAATTTTTAGCTTTCTGGCCCACTGGATATAAGGAAAGATGAAGATAGAGGTGGTGGAAATGGATGGTAACAATATCTAGTAAAGATATCAAGTGCAATACAGACAATCAAGCAATGCTAGTCTGCATTAGAGGAACAGGTCATGACAGGTAAAATCAGCCCAGAGATTGGTGTCAGGTTTTGGCAGATAATTTAAAGATCTTTCTCTCAGACTGAAGGAAGACTCTAGTGATAGAGGGAAAAGACTTTCACAAGAAACTAGCAAAGAAGGAAACATAATTGCATGTTTCTCCCAATCATCCAATCCAAACTAACAATAGCCTCCTCTGGCTAGGATAGGGAAGGGACTCTCACAGCTGTCTCATACCCTGAAGCTGGACCCATATCTTCGTCCCGCTTACACACCAAAAGGCTGAAGGCCACTTTTCATTAGTTTTCATCAGACTCTATTAGCTAGGACCTTCCCTTTCCCGCTCAACCCCCTGGGGTGATAAGCACATTTTCCAGCAGCTCTGGAGTCACAGCTGCTTACACAGTCGGTGCCAATCCAAACATGTCCAGCTGGAGTGCTCCACCTCCGAGCCATCCTTCTTTCTGCCCTCCGCCCAGCTGAAACCACAGGGGTGCTTGGACCTCATGACCAGCAGACATGAGCTAAAGCAAGAGAAGCCAGTCTTGCTTCCCTGGGGAGAAGCATCATGCTATTAGAAAGCTCCTGGTCCTGTTCTTTCAAAAACGTTAACCCCCTTAAAAATACATGATAGAGGCAGGAGAATAAACATACTCAAGGTGGAGGAAGAACAGTGCACTAAGCTATAATACTAGAATGTAGCCCAAATGTATTCAATTTCCACCTCAAGTTACCCTGCCCACAATCTGTGAATCTGTCTGTCTTAGGCGCTTTGATGTTTCCTGGGCCCAGATTATTATCTGGGATGATAACAGGCAATGGTGCTTGCTGTGGTTGAAGAAATTATGTTGCAGAGAAGCTGGAATTTGGACAGTATTCTACACTCAGCATTTGCTCACCTACATTCTGTAGCCTTCTTTGCAGCTTGAGGCCTGTGATTAGTTCTGGCTAATCAGCAGGGAGTGGATATGACATGTGTCATCTATAAGTCAGGGCAATTAAAAGCACTGAGCTTTCTTGGTCATTTGCTTCCTTCCCTGCAGCAAACTTGGAAGCCATGTCTTGGTTCATAATATGGAAGAATCCTGGGCTTCTGAGTCATCAGAGGGCTCTAGTTACCCCACTGATCTGTAGCAGATTTTACATGAGTGAGAAAAAAAAAATTGCTGGGATAAGTCACTGAGATGTTAGGGTTTACGTGTTATTGAAGCAAAGCCTAGACTATCCTGACTAATAACCGGCATTCATTTATTTGGTCATTAATTCAATAGACTCTTAGTGAGCACTACTGTGTGTCTGTCACAGGGACACGAATAAATTTGGAGACTAGCAAAAGACATAAAAAGCAAATTCTAAAATATTGCAAAATTTAAGAGATATAGCAAACACTTTCCTGACTTAGGTTTTATGAAAGTCTTGAGATTTCAGTAGCTATTTGTACAATGGAACAGAAATAGTAATGTGAGACTGGCATATGCTTAGAGAAGACTCAGAAATGAAAATAGCTCCTTACATCTTTACTTGCCTTACATTTATCAACATTGTCACATGCACCATCTCATTGGCATCTCTTCAAAATCCTGTGAAGATGACAGGATAGGTATTATTGTTCCTATTTTACCATGGTGGTAGAAGGGAAATGTGAAGCTTAGGCATGGGAGGGCCGGATAGTTTGTGAATGACAGAATCCAGTCTCTAACCACAGTCTTCAATTTTGGAGTCCATGCCCTTAACACCAAGTTGCCTGTCTGCAGACAGTATGATGCTTAACTTTCCATTATGTAAACATACATGCTATAAACTGAGATGTAGGTTAAGGGGACAGGAATGAGCTAACCTGTAGGACTCTGGTGAACAGTTTGGATATAAAGAGGAAGAATTGTAGTTATGATTAGTGAGAAGTGAAAGCCATATGAATCTTAAGTGAAGCATTCATACTTAATTAATCTTTATTAGAATATCTGATTCCATGATTACTAGGATGTGGACAAGAAAGACCAGATTTGCACACTCAGACCTAGAGAATTAAACCCAGGCACAAGAACAAGAGAGCTAGGAAGAGTTATGGTCCTGGCCATCCCTTGGGAGTATTTCTGGAATTTTTTCGAAAATCGTCTCTTCTGGGGATAGTTCTCAATGGCACATGTTCTGGGATGTCATTCCCAGTTCATCATACCATGAAATAACATCTTCTTAAGTTTAGCAGCCGATAGCCACACAAATCTTAGCATTCCAACTAAAGATTCTCTCTCACTCTATACTTGGGATGTATTAGAGACACATAAAAACACTGGCACCCAATTAGGAGAGTTTATCCAAGTCAGTTGCAGATTGCATCTCTCCCAGGTCTGGGAACCTCTTGTCTCTGCTGTCAGAATTAACAAATGTTAGAAGCAGATCCTGACTACTCAACAATGTATAAGCCATGAACTGAACTGACACATTCATTTTAAGGATGAATCTCAGCATTAATTTTGCATCCAATCCAATGTTTGTTTCTGCAATTTTGCTTGTATTTTTTCCAGAAGTTCCCACTTGCCTTTTATCATCTAACGTCTCTCAATCCTTTAAATCCTAACTTGAAACTCCTGGGAACCTAACACCCTGACCATCCCTACC